GTTCTCAAATAAAATAAAATAAAATTTTTTTATTGTTTTTTTTATTTTATTTTACTTTATTTTAAATTTAATTTAATTTTATTTGTGAACATACTGTACAGAGGAGTTACAGTTACATGGGCAGGATAATGCGTACATTTCTTACCAAGCATTGCAGCCTCCTCCTTTGTTTACCCTTCACATCCCTTCCCAGCCTCCCCCCCTCCCCCCCTAATCCCAATCCTTCTCCTTCTCCTCCCCCCCCCCCCCCACCCGCACCAACGTTGTAAAGCTCGTTTTGGACATGACAACTTGTACTTCTCATTGTTGCAACAGGTCCACCTGTATCCTTAAACAACTGGTTTTTCCCCATCTCCTCCACAAGTTATACTGACATCAAATATAGTGAAAGCAGGGGTTATACTGTGGGGGAGGGACATACAAAGCAACAAAGAGATAATCTTATAAATGTGTTAGAAACACATGCATGAAAGAAAAAAACATTAAAATACACATCTAAGGGTTCATTTTCCTGACATCACATTATCTGACCTTTTCCGCTTGACTCATACATATACTAGATATTACAAATAAGGGAAACCATGGGACCTACGTTTCTTTGGGCCTGGCTTACTTCACTTAATATAATTTTTTCCAAGTTTTTCCATTTCCTAACAAATGGGGCAATGTCATTCTTTCTGATGGAGGCATAGAATTCCATTGTGTATATATACCACATTTTCTTGATCCATTCATCTACTGAGGGGCATCTGGGTTGGTTCCATATCTTAGCTATGGTAAATAATGCTGCAATAAACATAGTTGTGCTGGTAGCTTTAGTGTGGTCTTGTTTGTAAACATTTGGGTAAATGCCCAAAAGTGGGATTGCTGGGTCATAGGGGAGCTCTATGTGAAGTCTTTTGAGGAACCTCCATACTGCTTTCCAAAGTGGTTGAACAAGTTTACATTCCCACCAACAATGAAGTAAGGTTCCTTTCTGTCCACATCCCCTCCAGCATCTGTTGTTGTTAGAGTTCTTGATTTTTGCCATTCTAACTGGAGTGAGGTGATATCTCAATGTTGTTTTGATTTGCATTTCTTTTATGGCTAGGGATGTTGAACATTTCTTCATGTGTCTATTGGCCATCCTTCTTTCTTCTTCAGAGAAGTTTCTGTTTAAGTCTTTCACCCACTTAAATAAAATAAAATTAAAAAAAAAAAGTGTACCGTCACTAATCACTTATTTTTTTCTACACCAAAATATTTACACAAAGAAGCTTAATAACAATGTTTATTCTCCAGTAAGTTATATAATGAAATCCACAACTTCCAATATTTCTTTACTGATTCAAACAACTCTCTCTCTTTAAAAATGGAAAAGGCCTAAAAAGTCACTTAATATTATCATTATAAGGTACAGAAAAATTTAAAAAAATGAGCCAGAGGAAATGGCTTTGTGATGTTTAGTGAAATGAACCCTAAGATGGGGACACAAGTTGTTTTTTCTTTCTTGCTATTGTTTTTAACATATCTAAAATGTACTATGAGATTTTTTTTTTGTTACTCTTGTATGTTCTTCCCTCATGGTATAATTCCCATTTTCATTGTATTTGATTCCAGTGCCCTGCATCTTGTATCTACAATTTTCTAATTTGGGGAGGGGAAGGGAAATAACAAAATGCTGAAACAAGGATACAGGTTGACCTATTGTAACAATGACATGTACAAGACAATATGTTGAAAACCAACTTTACAACTTAGGGGAGGGTAGTTGGGGAGGTGGGAGGAAAGGGATGGTAGGGGAAAAACAAAGGAGGAGGTAACAATGCTGGATAGGAAATGTACTCATTACCTTTCTCCTGTAACTAACCCCTCTGTATACTATTTTTACAATAAAAAACATAAAAAATCCGAATACAACATTTTAAAACTAAAAAAACAAACAAACTTGAGCCAGACATGTTTGCTTAAGCCTGTAATTCTAGCTGTTTGGTAAGCCAAGATTGTAGGATCATGGTTTAATACCAACTTTAAAACAAACAAGATCCCATCCAATCAGACAAGGCTAGTTGTGGTAAGGCATTCCTTATCCAGCTTAGGGGTATAAATAGGAGGATCATGGTCAGAACAGCCAAGGCAAAAGACAAGACCCTTCCTCAGAAATTAACAGAGCAGAAAGGTCTGGAGGCATTGCTCAAGCGGTAGAGCATCATCATTTTTAAAAATAAGTTTTTTTTATTGTGAAAATACCGTACAGAGGGGTTACAATTACATGAGCAAGATAATGAGTACATTTCCTATCCAGCATTGTTGCCTCCTCCTTTGTTTTTTCCCCTACCAACCCTTCCCTCCCACCTCCACAACTACACTGTGCCCCCCACCCCCCACCCCAGCCCGGTCTAAATTGTAAAGTTCATTTTTCAACATAGCGTCTTGTACATCTCATTGTTGCAATGGATCCACCTGTATCCCTATTTAAACAATTTGATTTTTCCTTTCCACTTCCCAAATTATACCAACATCAAATACAGTGAAAACAGGGGTTATATCGTGGGGGAGGGATATACAAAGCAAAAAAAAAAAATCACGTGGTACATTATAAATATGTTAGAAACAATAGCAAGAAAGAAAAAAACCACTTGTGTCCTTATCTTGGGGTAGAGCATCTTCTTTTTTTTTTTTTAATTTAATTTTATTTGAGAACATACTGTACAGAGGGGTTACAATTACATGGGCAGGATGAGCATCTTCTTAACAAGGACAAAACCCTGAGTTCAAACCTCAGTACCACCACAGAAAAGAAAAAGAAGTTGAATGGGAACATTTTAATTAAAATATTTTTAGAATCCATAATAAAAATAAGAAGTTTATGTTGCATGAATTTGAGAGGTATTAATGGCACATGCTTCTTTACAATAACCCCAAGTTTGCTAATCATCTTCAATCACCATTTAATATATATGCAGTATAGAGAGCAAAGGCAATATCCAGTGTTTACAGTTGCCAGAGATCCAGTGACATAATATACCTCTGATCAAAAGTTAATCAGCTTTAGAAGGTAGTGGGTGGAAATTGCTAAGTGTAAACAAATCTTTTTAATCTTTTTTGCCATTAAGATCATATTCCACATCATATCACTTTTACCCAGCTAGGATTATTTAAGCTCACAGTGGCAAATGAGCATTATTAAATTGTTGACAGAAACTTCAGGTAAGAAATTTGGGAATCTCATGACAGTCAATAATATATATATATAAAATTTGGACTTCTTATGTACTTGCTTTTCAAAGAAATGTCAGTTATTACAATACTGTGTTTAATTTTGGGTTTGTTTATTACTTTCTCTTGAAAGTTTTCAGTACCATTCTGACATAATCAGAGAGATATATCTGCAGATTTTGTGTTTCAAAAAATTTAAAAGGTACCTAGGAGAATCATAAGGTCATTATGTGAGTTTTGTCTAAGTGTGAATTTATTGGCCTATTTAAGAATTTATCTTGTAATTCTAATTCTTTCAAGTTGAGAGTTAATTTGTTTCTTTACTGACACATCAATAGAGGAGAACTGAGTTGATACATGGTAAAGACAAAGCTGAATTTTACAGTTGATCACTATATAGAAGAAGATACAAGATCTCACCATTCCATGGAATTTTATTGTGTAATACTTAATATAATAAGTTTTATTCATATTTAATAATATTAATATAGGCCTTAAAGGTAGATGTGTTAAGTCTTACACAAATTATACAGTTGATTTTATTTTCTTAAGAGAGAGGAAATAACATTTCATTAAAGAAGTCTGTCATGTGACCAATTATATAGAATATATCTTTGTTACTATTGCCTAGATAAAAATTTAAATATTCTAGATTCCCTTCAAAAACATTAATATTTCCCATTTCATGTAAGAATAACTAAAACAAGTTTAGAATCTTACTGTGGCAAAAATTTTTAGTCTCTTAAAATATTTTTTTACTGGTGTGATTCCTTTATTTAGATTTCTATTTAATTGAAGAACACAAATCAATATGAAGTTTTATCTATGTAGTTCTTAATGCTGGTCACATTTCTAAGGTGTGGAAACAACAAAAAGTTTAATATATGTTGCCTTTGTGAACTCTGCTAATTGTACATATCAAGGTGGCTCTATACTTCAAAATCAGTGTCAAAATCACATCGCTCATGGAGACATTCTTATTCTCTGCCACTTTTTTTTTTATCCCCCAACACTGGAAGCAATCTCTACCCAATATAATATTTTACATGTGTCATGTCATTTAAAGACACATGTCACTTTCTCAAGCAACAACCAAGAGGATCACAGATGAAAGCTAACAAATTTTACACATGTGATATATTTGTTGCTTTATCAATGTAAATATTTCTTTAAATGCATAGTTTTCTTCTATTTGTGTTATCGTGTAAAATTTTATAATACCTATTGTACAGCTACTGTTTCATAAAATTAACACATATTATGGTGATGATTATATTACTATATTTTGTTGTTCACTCACATCTGAGTGCAAGTAGTATTTAGTCCTTTCTAAGGGAACAATATCTAAGCCTAAATGTATACTTTAAAAAAAATACTAAATGTAGAGTTGAGATATACAGTGTCTTCTAAAAACTTAGTGGGAAAAATTTAACAATTTTTAAATACAAAAAGAAGGTTAAAGGAATGAACTCAGGAGAAAAATCAGAGATAATCATAATCTAAGCTGGAATAATGGTTACGAAAGGCACATTCTTCTTAACCCTATAATGACCATAAATATTGAACTATTATTGAACCACAAAATAATTCAATAATAAACTCATAGTTGTCACAAAATATTGTACTACCAAATTGTATACTTGAACTGGTATATATTGACTGGTATTTGGTAGAAAGCAGATCCTAAGGTGTTAATGATTTGCATCAAACCTGAGCAATTTTTTTGTCTTTTCTCTGTACACCAACAGACACAAACCTCATTTGTTTCACATCTCCTGAAACTTTCTACTTGGACACACATTATGTTAACAAACATTCTCCTATTGTCTCTTCAAATCAGTCTCCTGGGAACCAGCCTTGGTGGGAACATTCTGATTTGGCCAATGGAAGGTAGTCATTGGTTAAATGTTAAAATAATTATAGATGCACTCATTGAAAAAGAGCATAATGTGACTGTCCTGGTTGCTTCTGGTGCTCTTTTTATCACACCAACGTCGAACCCATCTCTGACATTTGAAATATATGAAGTGCCCTTTGAGAAAGAAAGAATAGCCGAAGTGATCAGAAATTTTGTTTTGACATGGCTGGAGAATCGACCGTCTCCTTCAACCATGTGGACCTTCTATCACGAGATGGCCAAAGTCATCAAAGACTTCCACATAGTGTCTAAAGAGCTCTGCGATGGTGTTCTTAAAAATGGAAAACTGATGGAAAAGCTGAAGAAAGGAAAGTTTGAAGTCCTGTTGTCTGATCCAGTATTTCCTTGTGGCGATATAATAGCGATAAAACTGGGAATTCCCTTTATCTATTCTTTGAGGTTTTCCCCTGCTTCAACAGTAGAAAAACACTGTGGAAAGGTGCCATACCCCCCTTCCTATGTCCCTGCCATTCTCTCAGAACTCACAGACCAGATGTCTTTTGCCGATAGAGTAAGGAATTTCATCTCTTACCATCTACAAGACTACATCTTTGAAACTCTCTGGAAACAGTGGGACTCCTACTACAGTACAGCTTTAGGTATGTAGCAATTTTGGTCTTCTTATTTGAATATGAACAAGCATAACTTTAAGTTGCTCTATTATTATCCGCAATTGTGTCACTATTATATGATAGAATGAAAACAAATTTAAAATAAAAACATACAGCAGAACTGCAGTGCTATTTTATGATTTTATGTGCTGGATGGTATCAGCTCAATAAATACAGGGACAACTACCTTATAGTTAATGAATGAACTAGACCTCATTTGGATATCACTATAAAATAGTAATTGCATAAAAACTGGAGTTTTATATAGAAGAAGCAAGAAGATTTTAAACTTTTTATGAGTTAGTATAGACCTTGCAGTGCATGTTTAAAGATGTGTGTGTGTATATGTGTGTGTGTGTGTGTGTGTGTGTGTGTGTGTGTGTGTGTGTGTGTGTAGTTTCTGATCACTGCTTAGTAAAGATAAATGGCAAAAATTAAAACATTTGAAGATTTATCAATTTTATTTCTAAGGTATGAACTTAAAGGAAAGTAAATAAAATCAGGCATTTTTATCCCTATTAATCTAACATGAATTCCTGAAGTATGATATACTGTTTATTAGGAGGAGAAAATAGAATCAATACTAATTAACAAAAAAATTCTACAATTAAAGGAGTTAAGTCTGAGGATTTGTGAATTGAGTATGTACACAATGAAGGATAAGGTGTAATAATTGAAGACAGGTATATATCTAGGGATGAACAGAACAGCAATTAAGTCACGAAAAAAAATACCAAAAGGGCAAAGAGTAAAAATAATTAAAACATACACACACGTACACATACACCCATCCACACACACCCCTAAAATAAAAATGTTGAAAAAATAGAAAACAATTTGATTTTTTAATTAGGTAGAAAAAAGAGTTCTTTGATTTTTTTTTGGCTGGAGTGATCTTGTGTCTCCCCTGTGTCCATAACCAGTCTCTTGGTGGAGTCTCTGGTTTGCTTGTAGTGTTTGGTTTCCTGTGGCTTGATTGTTTTCTTAAATCAGTTTGTTTGAGCAGGCAGAAAGAAGCTCTGCTTTTCCAGGGACTTTATGTCCTTCCTCCCAGGCTAGTTCAGTGGGAGGGCATCTTATATACATTTTTCTAATTTGAGGAGGGTGAGGAGGGAGGAGTTGGGGAGGTGGGAGGGAAGACATGGCAGGGGAAAAACAAAGGAGATAACAATGCTGGATAGGAAATGTACTCATTGCCTTACTCATGTAACTGTAACATCTGTGTACAGCATTTTTACAATAAAAATATACAAAAAATTAAAAAAAACTATGTTGAAGAGCTGGGATATTGTTCAAATAATAGAACACTTGCATAGCAAGCATAAAGTTCAAACCACAGTTGAAAATACACAAAACTGTACTGGGCATATTGATGTGGTTATATTGTCTAAAAGTCATCTTAATATATAGGCTTTTCCCATTTCACATGCATCTGAATTTTATTGTTTACTCCTTACTGATGGTACATTTCCTACTCATTTTTTATCTTTTTTTTTTTTGTGTGTGGGGGGCCTGGTTGTGGGGCCTGAACTCTGGGCCTGGGCCCTGTCTCTCAGCTCTTCAGCTCAAGCTCAAGGTTAATGCTCTACCACTTGAGCCACAGCGTCATTTCCGGCTTTTTTCTTTTTGCTTATGTGGTGCTGAGGAATTGAACCCAGGGCCTCATGCATGCAAGGCAAGTGCTCTACCACTGAGCCACCTTCCCAGCCCTTCCAATTCATTTTCTATGTCCTCTCTAAGTTAGGGAGATTAATTGAATAGATGAATTTCTTGTCTGTCTTCATGTATTTTAGAGTCCAGCAGAGCAGTGAGACATGAAAACGAATAAATTCTGTAGATAATATGCATACAAAATACAGAGACAGTATTGAAGAGATGAGGTTACATTACAGGAAGACCATAGTGGCTATTCCAAAACTCTTCAAAGTTGAGGTGAAGCATAAAGAAATGTGTAAGCAGTAAACACTGATGTTCTTGTAAAGTGTAGAGAAGAAAAGGCTGTCTGACATGGAAGATCTCAAGTAACCAGAGATTTACTGGGGATTGCTGATGAGTTACTATTTGTGAAAGTTCAAGTATGAGGCATGGAATACAGCTGAGGAAAAAAATAATTATGGTGATGTCATTATTGTAAAATTAGTTTAACCATTCAGTTTAAAATTTCTGTTGTATGTTACGCTATTTTCTTCCATTTTTAACGTAATAATACATTGAAAACTACTTAAAGGGATGTTTGATGATTACAGTTACCTTTTATTATCAAACTTTGTGAAGAACCCAGAGTAGTTGGTTACAAGGAATGAGAGCCCAGAGTAATTATTTAGTGTCGTCTATAAAAGAATAGTGAGTATGTTCTTTCACTCATCTGAAGGCCTCTTTGTCATCTCGTTTATTGCTTTTCTGTTACAGGCAGATTGCTTGATCATTTTTCTGCTTTCATATATAATATATTCCTGAATCAAATATTTATAAATGTAATTATCTTAAAGGGACCTAGAAATATTTCACAGTACATAATTGTAACACACTTCATACAGTCTAAATGCTATATATTTACTGTTTGAATTTGATTCCATGATAAACCTCAGAAATACAGACCTAATCCTAAAGAAAACCAGTTAATGAGGGAGTGTCTCCTGCAATTGATAAGCTACCTTTCCCTGATAGTTGTTGAGCTTTGAGACTTGAACTTCTACTAACATCAACATTTTATTTTAGGCTTTTACCCATTTTAATAATGTAATAAAGCTAAGATGAAGAGAATTTCAATGACCTCAATGTTGTTGTACATCCACTAGACAAACTGTCAGGTTTCTACTAAGTAGAGCTTCTATAGTCTATTTACTAAGTATGGTTAGTAGCTAATATGTAAAAATAAAGAATAAAATTTAAATTTATTTGAAGATGACAAAATGCAGTGTGTAGTGGTTAACATGAATATTATTATGAGAAATTAGAGATTCCTATGTAATGACATTTGTTAACACACAACATCTTTCCCACAAACTTGCTCTAAAACATTTATAAAATTGATTTATTGGAATCAAAACGAATATACACGTATTAGAATGTGGATATATGTAGACTACTAACCTTCAATAAATAAGAGCAAAATTTGCTGAGCCAATTACAAATAAATACCACTTATTGTCAGCAATGGTCTTCATCTTATTGGGTATGGCAATTAACTGTGTTAAAATCTACAAACAAATGTTATGTCTCAGATATAAAGCAATTTGTAAGTAGTTCTGACCTCAGAGAAAAACAGAAATAGCTAAAACGGTTATTTGTTAACTTAAAAAGATAAAAGTAAATGGGTCACCATATTAAGACAAAATTGTCTCTCATTAAAAATAAAAAGAAGGTAGCCAGGTAAGCATATGTGGCTTACACCTGTGATCCTAGCTACTCAGGACACTGATATCTGAGAATTATGGTTCAAAGCCAGTCTGGGTAGGAAAGACCCTGAGACTCTTATTTACATTTAACCACCAGAAAACCAGAAGTGTGTTGCTGTGGTTCTACATAGTAGAGTACTAGCCTTAAGCAAAAGAGCTCAAGGACAGCACCTAGGCCCTGGGTTCAAGCCCCATGACCAATAAAAAAATAATAATAAAATAAAGAATGATGAAGAATAAATGGAAATTTTATAAATCAATAAAACTGAAAAATTGACAAAAATTCTTATAGTAGGTAAACTAATCTAGGCATCTGAATATGTGCAGTGGGTCAGTTGAAGCCCAGATTAATACTGAAGTATTCTTAGGATAATTACATTTTATCAAGCCACATCTTTTTTTTTTTTTTTTTACTAATTACTCTTTATTTTAGAAATATAAATCTCATGATTATGATTGTGATGGTGATTATTCCCATGAGTGACTTTGTCCCTTGGCTAATCTTCTCCAGGCTGAGGTCCCAGAATCTCACCTTCTATTGTGTTGCTGGTAATGAAAGCACATTACTTTCCCAGTCTCAAAACCTGAGACTAATCTTTCTTTATGGAAACACAAAGAGGAGTTATTCAGATTCTTTTACACCTGAGTCTTACATATTTCTAATTGAATTACATTCTTCAGATTTAGCATGACTATATAAGTTTGTATTTACTAAACAGTATTACTGAGGCCAAGGGCATTGTTGCTCAATTTTAAAAGACAAGGTAAGAAGCCAAAATAGTGTCTTAATAGAGTAGCTTATTTTTGTGCAAGACATTGTAGATATAGAATGTGTTAGATGACAATGATGAATGGAATGACATGGCTTGTAAAACTTCCTTCCAAATAGTCTCAAAATTTATCTCTTTCTCATAAATGCTTTAATGATTTTTCTTTTTTTTTTTTGGGTCCGGTTGTGGGGCCTGAACTCTGGGCCTGGGCGCTGTTCCTCAGCTCTTCAGCTCAAGGCTAGTGCTCTACCACTTGAGCTACAGCGCCACTTCTGGCTTTTTTCTTATGTGGTGCTGAGGAATCGAACCCAGGGCCTTGAGCATGCAAGGCAAGCGCTCTACCACTGAGCCACCTTCCCAGCCCCGATGATTTTTCTTAATAATGAGGCCATATCCACTCAGGTCTCAAACAGTCACACCGAAGTAAATAAATGAGACCAACTTTCCCTAAGATTATTTCTCTTTGGTAGAATGTAATAAGAAGCTCAGAATGGGTCCTTAATCTTTGTTAATTAGTAAGCATTGGGTATTATAATGTCAGATTACTTATTTAATTTCAAATCATAGATATTTTACTCAAACTCATGGATATATTAATAGTAATAGGCCTTAGTATTTGTTGGAGTTTTTCCTATCCACTAGAGACTGTGATAGAAGATTTACATACATTTTCTTTCTTAATCATTACAATGAATAAGTTGTCATTTACATACAAAATTACAGTGCATATAAGTTGTCTTTTTCAAAATCTCAGTGAATTTCAAGTTCTAGAATTATTGTCTCCTAATTTAAATTTCAGGTGGAAAACTATGAATTACTAAAAATAGTTTTGGTTTAAACATCCTTGGTGCTTATCTTCTTCTTGATATAGTTCTTGAAAGCTGCTAGTCTATTTTCCCTACTCTTTATTCACTGCATGAAGTTAATTGGGCCACATTGTTACTAGGTAACATATTCCTTAAGGAATAGGGCTCTATTATGAATCTGTTGTCTGAGATGTGTTGTCTGAGAATATTCTTTATGGCTGTCAGAGAGAGGTTGGCAATCTCCACCTAAAAGCAAGGAAAGACTCTGCAAATGTCAAATATGTTATTTAAAATTGGATCAGGTAAATTTTTACTTTTTTCATAATATCAGTAAAAAAAGGTCCCCAAAGTTATATACATATTTAAAAGACAATTGTATAGCAATTGTATGAGAGAAAAAGTATTTAAAATCCATAAGCATTAGGTGTTATAAACTGCCTTTTAGTTTCTGACTATATAAAACAAGAAGGCGTTGGATTTATATTATATTATATTATATATATGATTCTGTGATTTAACAATTAGATAAATGTCTCTGAACTACTGTCACCCACAATAACAATAAACTATATTTTCAAAACAACATATCCTTAAGATGTTTGTATGGTATAGATAACATTGAGGGACATAAATCAATATGAAACAAAAAGCTGGGCTTAAATATATGATTCTTTTAAAGTTGAAGTTATTTTTTCTTTTTTTCTGACTATACTAATTTTTGGTCTTAGGATTTTTTTTTTTCTTGTCGGTCGTGGGGCTTGAACTCTGGGCCCAGGCACTATCCCTCAGCTCTTCAGCTCAAGGCGAGCGCTCTACCACTTGAGCCACAGCACCACTTCCCAGACTGGCTTTGAACTGCGATCCTCAGATCTTAGCCCCCTGAGTAACTAGGATTACAGGCGTGAGCCACAGGTGCCCGGCTTGGTTTTAGGGCTTTCCTTGTGCTTATAAGCAGGTACTGTACCACTTGAACCATACTTCAGGTCCTTTTTACTCTAGTTATGTTTGAGACAGGTCTCAGTTTTGCCTGGGATGGTCTGAACTATGATCCTACTATTGATTTTCCTGTTACAATTGACATGACAGGCACATTGCCACCACACATCTTGCAAACATTTCTGCCCAGGCTGGTCTGGAACTGTATTCTTCCCCAGTTTCAGCATTCTGAAGAGCTGAGAGAACAAAAGTTGCATGGCACCTTGCTCAGCTGTGGATTGAGATGATAGCGGGAGGGCCTCACAACATTTGCTTGGGTGGGTTTTTAACGGAAATCATTCCTCTCTCAGCCTCCTAAATAGATATTGTTGCAGATGTGAGCTCCAGTACCTTGCTGAACTTTATTTTTATTGTTAAATCAGACATATTTAGAATGAGTTATTTTTTCCATTTGAAGGAACTTAACTAAAATAATTATGTGAATTCCTAAATGCGGTATTTTAACTTAGCATCACTTTTCTATCCCATTTTGCTCATTCTGGTGTTTAATTATTCTAACACCCCAAATTAAATAGTTACTGAGCACCCATAGCTAAAGAGATATCCCATGATTTAATGCTTATTCTTAATTTTTGGCTTATATCTTTTAAATCAACTTATTCATAGTTTTCTTGGTAATAACCTTGAATGGTTTGAAAATGGTATTCTTCTATGCTTATGCATATTCAGCTTAGGATTCATTAAGAATTACAAATGATAGCTCTATATCCATGTCTAGACATATTAATAGGTACTTCATTGATTAACTGGTTAAATTTATTAAATGCTAATCTTCAGGGCAAGTTTGCTAAACTGTTAATATTGTGTTATTTATTATAATATTATATATGATATAATATTATATATTCTTCTTAACCAAGCAATTTTCAAAGTAGCTTTGAGGTATCATTGCTATTTTACAGAGAAATATAACAAATTATCATCATCTCCCTTTATATTTGAAAAGTAAAGCAGAGAGTGTCTAGGTAATTCTCTAGGGTTACAAAACTTATAGTAGTTTCTTAATCTGGGGCTATTGAAGTCCATAGTTCATGTGACTTAATCTTCTATGCAGCTTTGTGTAAAATAGCCTGTGTTTCTTCAAGGTGCCAGACACCTGAGATGAATTATAAAGGTAATTATAAAACTACTATACATACTTAAATAACTGGCATACAAACCAACTTGCAGAGTTTACAAATTATATTAAAATATATGCCTTAGCCAAGTCTCAGTGGCTCATGCTTCTAATTCTCAGCTTCTTAGGACGCTGAGATTTGAGGATCTAGTTTAAAGGAAGCCTAGGCAGAAAAGGTTGTAAGTCTCACATCTCCATTAATCACACACACACACACACACAGTTATTTTTTAAATTTAATTTTACTGTCAAGGTGATGTACAAAGGGGTTATAGTTACATGAATAAGGTAGAGAGTACATTTCACTCAGTAATGTCAATTCCAGTGACAGTAGCACACACACACAAAACATTTTGATTATTATCACAGAGTTCAAAGATACTAGGCTTAGAACTTCCTCTTTTTTTCTTTAAAATGGGACTCTATTTCATTTCTGTCTGTGTCATAATTACTTTAATACATAACAGAATTTGAATTATATTGCTTTCCTTTAATACATTAGAGCGGTTGGTCTACAAATGGGCATAGCTATCGTATTGGATGTTGTTTTATTTACAATCTACTTACATACATTGAAGATTTCTTTTCATCTTAGAAAATCTACAATAGAATGCTTTCCACTGTGGAAATGAACAGGCCTAAGAAGATTGTTCAACTGCTTATTTTTTATTTGACTCTCACAAAAATTGTTCATAGTGGGAATGTGCTAATTTGGCCTACGGATGGTAGCCATTGGTTAAATATTAAAATCATTCTAGAAGAGTTGATTCAAAGACATCATAATGTCACTGTACTGGCTTCTTCAGCAACTCTATTCATCAACTCCAATTTTGATCCTTCTGTGAATTTTGAAGAGATACCGGTTTCCTACAAGAAAAGTAATATAGATTCCTTAATTGAACATATGATCATGCTGTGGCTAGACCACAGACCAACCCCTCTGACATTGTGGACTTTCTACAAAGAACTAGGAAAGCTCCTAGACAGTTTTTTTCAAATTAATACACAAATCTGTGAGGGTGTGTTAAACAACCCCACACTAATGGCAAGACTTCAGAAAGGTGGTTTTGATGTGTTGGTAGCAGACCCAGTAACAATCTGTGGAGACCTGGTGGCTCTGAAATTAGGAATCCCGTTCTTGTACACATTGAGATTCTCTCCAGCTTCAACAGTGGAGAGGCATTGTGGGAAAATCCCAGCTCCAGTTTCCTATGTACCAGCAGCCTTGTCAGAGCTCACTGACCAGATGAACTTTGCAGAAAGGGTTAAAAATACCCTATCTTATCCTCTACAAGATTACATATTCCAGTCCTACTGGGGAGAATGGAATTCATACTACAGCAAAGTTCTAGGTGAGTCTCCTGAAGTTTCTCTTGTATTAATGAATTCAGATATTTTTATTCTTATTGTTTCATTGTATGTGCCAAAAAATTAATTATATGTTTGTACAATTCCTCGGGTATTATATTTTTAGTAAATTCCTATAAAAGGATGTGACAGGGCTGGGAAGGTGGCTCAGTGGTAGAGCACTTGCCTTGCATGCCTGAAGCCCTGAGTTCGATTCCTCAGTACCACATAAGCAAAAAGAAAAAAGCCGGAAGTGGCGCTGTGGCTCAAGTGGTAGAGCGCAAGCCTTGAGCTGAAGAGCTGAGGAACAGTGCCCAGGCCCAGAGTTTGGACCCCCAGACCAGACCCAAAATAAAAAGGATGTGACAGTATTAATTTCTATATTACTATCTCTTAATGAAAACAATCTCATGCTTTATTGCTGTATAAGTAAATCTTCAAATCTAAAGTACCTTTACTAGAATAAATTGTGAGGTTGCTAAGATATTTATTGTTTAATAGTTTGAAATTATAAATATATTGATAGCCCTGTTTAATTTTTATCTTTCTGTAAAAATCTCTACAATGCATAAAGTTGAGAATTAGAAACCCTAAATTTATACCTGATCTGACCTAATAGTATCTGTGTTTAAACTTTGGGGATGCTTGTGTTAGTATTCAGTGTAAACTTTTCTGGATCCTTTGAGGACTTAAAGTTTTCTGATTTCAAAGATTCTTTATGAGATGCAAGTAAAATAATGTGACTATCGAGGAGAATTCTGATTGGATTTTTATATTTCCTTTTTTTCTGAAACCATGTAGTTTCCTTCCTTAAAATATTTTGTTATTGTTATTGTTTATTTATTTGTTTTACATTTTCTTCTTGCATAACTTTTAAAAATTCACTTCTAAAAGCAGTACCGAGGAACATACTATTTAGTATCAGGACTTAAAATGTGATATTATTAATTGTGCCGTTTTTTTCTTTTGGTAATTCTGGAGTTTTAAACTGGAGCTTTTCACTTGTGGTGCATGTGATTCTACCAAACTTGTAGTCCTTTTGGTTCTGATTATTTTTTAGCTAGAGTGATACTTTTTTCCCAGGTGGTTCTAGGTGGCATTCTTTCTATTTATGCTTTCTTCCATAGGTCCTGCTTTTGCTGTTCAGGCAAAGAGCTCATGAACTTTAACCTAGGCTAGTTTAGAACTTTACTCTTTCTGGTCTGTGCCTTCTGAATCAGCTAAGATTACAGGTGGCAGCCACTGATGCCTGCTCAATCATACTTTTTACAGAAGTTACGTGCAAAGCATCGCTATGCACTTTTGGGTCTATTTCTCTCCATTCTATCTTCTTTTCCTTCTCTTTTTTTCTTGATATTAAAAGAAATTAGTTAGTGAATACCAATATAGTACTAGCCACTTTGGTAGGTAGTGCAATAGTGCACAAAATAGAAAAAAAAGAAACATCTTACCTGGACTACATTTAACTTAAGAAGACAGTAAATAAAACAGTCACATAAAATATATAGGATTTTAGACAGTGATACATGGTATATAGTAAAATAAGAGAAACGAGTACTCTGGGAAAGGAGGTTATTCTTTCTATGGAGGGACTAGAGACAGCTTGAATGTAAAGGAGATTTTTTTTGGTTGGTCGTGTGGCTTGAATTCTGGGGCTTGGCCACTGTCCCTGAGATCTTCAGCTGAGGGTGAGTGCTCTACCACTTGAGCCACAGCACCACCTCTGGTTTTCTGGTGGTTAACTGGGGATAAAAGTCTCACAGACTTTCCTGCCCAGGCTGGCTTTGAACCGTGATCCAGATTTCAGCCTCCTGAGTAGCTAAGATTACAGGTGTGAGCCACCAGTGCCCAGCTAAAGGAAATATGGTAAGCTATAGCATTTATTTTCTTCTTTTGATGTTTTAATATTCTTCGCCTACATTCTCATCGCTTACACTTTCAAACTTCTACAATTTGCTCACAAAGTAGTTATTGTCCGTAGCACATATACAGGATAAAATATATACAAGATAACCAAAAATTTACATATGATTTCAGAAGATATTAGAATTCTACCTTGATAAGTGAAATTGTGTGCCTTTATATTTTATTATATGATTTGGTTATATTGTAGAGAAGATAAACTCAATGCCTCAAAAACATGATTTGATTTCAACTTAGATGTTATTTACATCATTCCTCAAGACATTTGAGATGTGTTTTATAAAATTCATCACTGCTCACATTGAATCACACACAGACCATACTACTGCAGGTGCTGAATGAGGTAACAGTGAACATTCCTTAATCCAGATGGAGAAGGTTCAGGAAATCACATGCAATTTTTGGTTCAGTTCCAATTACTTATTCTTTGGTCTGAGGCAAGTTACATAATAAAACAATCTGAGTGGCAGTGCCTCTGTCCCTTTCAGTGAGGTTATTTCACTGGACATTTAATCACTTGTGTGATATGCCAAGTCAACTGAAAAAAATCTTATGTGAAAAATAACATTATTCAAGAGCTCTTCAATGACAATGCCTTAAGTTTATGGGCATTGAATTATGCAAACAAATATGTCATAAATATATGCAAAACTAAGTGGCTTCTGTATAAATGAAATCGTCATTCTTGGTGACAAATTATATAACATTAGAAAAAGTGTTTGGCAAACAAAAATTCCCAGCTTCTCATCTTTACAGGATGATAATCTAGATTCAGGAATACTACCTTTTGAGAACTTAAATATTGTATTTATTTAAATCCTTTGTGTATATCATGTGACTAAGCATATTTAAACAACAAATAGTGTATGTTGAAGTCCATTGTCAAGAAGATCTGGTTTAAAATTTTTTTCTTTTCTGTGAAATAATCTTCTTAAAGTATTAATACCATCTGGTAATAGAAAACTGATACTGAAAGATCAGCATGCAATTGTTATACAACTGTTTTTGAACACAGAAGATTTAATAACATATCAAATTTCTGTGAAGTTTTCATTACAAAGTTGTTTGTTCATTCTGTGTAAGAAAATAGGCTGGAAAAATGACACTTAAAACTACAGTGCAGAAAATCCCAAATGTCCTGAATGGAATACCAGTACACAGCAAGGATATATCTAGCTTCACTGAGTCCTGTGTTCTATATCAGTGAACTTTTGTGTGTATATGTGTGATAGCAGGAATTGAACTCAGGGCCTCGCAACTTGCTGGGCAGGTACCCTAAAATATGAGCGGTGCCTCAGCCCCATTTTGCATTGGTTATATTTTATATAGGATCTCACTTTATGCCCAGGCCATCTTCGGCTGTCATTATCCTACATAGATGGTTCCCTCATGTTGCTAGAGATGACAGATGTATACCATTCCACCCAGCCATTTTGCTTCCAAAATAGATGGGATGACAGATGTGCACCCGCGCCATTGAATAAAAAGAGTCTCACAGACTTAAAAAGAAATTATTGTAATGGTGTTGTACAGAGGTGTTACAGCTACATAAGTCAGATAATAAGTACATTTCTTTTTGTTTTTTTGGTTGGTCATGGCCCTGAACTCTGGGCCTGGGCACTGTCCCTCAGCTCTTTAGCTCAAGGCTAGCGCTCTACCACTTGAGCCACAGGACCACTTCCGGCATTTTCTGCTTCTGTGGTGCTGAGGAATCAAACCCAGGGCCTCATGCATGCAAGGCAAACACTCTACCACTGAGCCACCTTCCCAGCTCTACATTTCTTTTTGAACAGTGTCATTCTTCTTTTTGTCCCACTTTTCCCACTTCTGACTCCTAACCTGCTTATGGAAACAAACTCCAGCAATGGAATTAAGAGTTTGCTTGTTTTTATTGTACTGTTTACAGTTACTGCCTTTTTCTTTCTTTTCCCCTTTTCCTCTGGTTGATTCTCTGTTGCCAGGTTTTGATTTCTGTTTTTTCTTATATATAAATTTATTAGATAGCCTTTCCTGACATGGCCTCAAAGTGTGATATTTCAATTTCCATTTTTGAAGTAGAGAGCTTAAGTCTTATGAATAAAGTAAAAATTACAAATTAACAAATACATTTCTAATGTCTAATGGAATGAAAATTGGGGAATATCAAATTGCTACTCCTATATGATGGTTGATAAAAATAGCAAATTTAGGCCCAGGCCAAGTGTTCTGCAAGGCATCTTCCAACTGCTCTAACTTACCTCAGCTTCTGAGAGACCTATTACACAGAAAAAACAGATAGTCCTCACTGCGGTGAGATTTGCGAGTAGCCTTTACAAAAGCTATGAATAATGTCATGGAAATAATTAAGCACGCAAGGGAGATCGATGGTCCTATTTTGCCTTGGCTTAGAGGTTGTCAGTCTTTTTTCATTCTTTCCAAGCTCATTCATCCTTGCTTTAAACTGTCAGCACCATGTTGTGCCCTATGCATCCATTGATAACATTTTAGATGGATTCTTAGAGTAATAATACTTTTCTCAGCCTACAAATACAAGCCTCAACTTTCCTATTCCACTCAAATTGCCAAGATTACTAGTTAGTAACTAGATTACTAACATTTTATATATGTACATATGTATATGACTATCTAACTAACTATATATACATATATCTAATCTATGCTTCTCCTTCTGGACCCAATTTATAATTTACTGTTGTCCTCTGCACCCCACCCCCACTTTAATTCTCATTCTCATCTCCTTACCCTTTCCTTAGAAAACTTAAGTGCTTTTGTTTATCTTCTTTCCCATAGGACTTCTAATTTCTTCTCCGAGGCAGCTACCTTATGATCAGCACAGGGAGCATTTTAAAATTCTTCTCTAACCCTTTTTCTGAAGCAAAAATAAAAGAACAAAAACAAAAACGAAAGTTGTAAAACAAAAAAAACAAAAACAAAAGTTTACACTTCAATATAACCCCTCAAAGCAAGACTAGCTTTAAAGTATCAATCATCTTTGAACCAGCTAATCACAATGAGCACTGATAAATTCTCCATACACATCTCTGTAACTGCATTTAAGAGTAACCATTTTATTGCCATACAA